AAGAATGGTATATTGTCCCATTGTGCCTATAATGTATTTTAAATTGGTCATTCCACCTTACTTAATGGAAAATCTTGCAGTTTTCCTAGTGCTCATCAGCGGTTTTAGGAATTCACTAACACCCCGAAATTTTTTTTTTTTTTTTTCCTTTTCCTTTTCTCTGTGATATCATGAGCCTGTAAGGACAAATGGCATATTTGGGCATAACTGCTTGACTCTGTAACTACTTTTTAAAATCAATATCTAAAAGGTATTAATTTCTTCTGACTTTTTAATTTTGTTTTTTTAGAGACAAAGATGAAACCAGATAGGAAATATAGTTTCTATGTTTTCTACTTATTACAATATTAGTTTCTTCTAAATATTACTTTATTTGTATTTCACTAAATTCAAAAGCAAAAATTGGATATCTGAGATGAACAATTTTGAATGGGTTAAGGTAGGAGTAATAAGCATTGTGTTCTCTCATATATAGGTAAGGGAATTTTATTTATAGTGAGAAATATAAAAGTACTTTGACATACTGTTTTTTCAAGGAGTCTCTAGAAAAGGGTAGAAGAACTGAGAATGAGACATCTAGATTCCATTTCTGGTTTATATGTAGCTCTTTTGCCTAATTTAGATATAATTTTGTCACAAGATAAGTCCAGTAACTGTCCTGTCTTAGATAATTTGCAGAGGCTGAAGTGACCAAAGATCCATTCCTTATTACTTTTCTAATTAAAAGAAGAGATAGCTAGATTTCTAGTAATATTATTCTAGATGTTGATAAGACACTGTTCCTAATGCCAACTACAAATATTCAGTTACTCAGAATGCATTTAAAAAATTGTTTGGTACAGCATTAATGTTGGTGATTCCTTTCTCCCATCTTATTTCCCTTCCCTTCTATTCTTTCCCATGTATTTCTTTTGCCTAAAAGAACATTGGTATGATTCTCATTTGCTACTTTGAGTATATAACTCCATCAGACTTTCCAGAGTTCTTCAGGGATGGAGCTCAAAGTTCACATTTTTCCATAAATGTCTTTTTTTTTTCTTGACCTTTTTCCACCCTGTAATTTCCCCTTGACTTACCCACTGCCCTCCCCAATCTGCAAAAGTGACAGTTTGCTGCCTCAAAACAGAGCATTCAAATGAATTCGCTTAGCCAATAACTTCTGTGAAGTTGCCTTTTCTAATGGTGTTATTACTCAGTGATGCACAAATGTGGTATTTGCCCTACTGGTAGGCAAACAAAGGTCTGGTTAAGAATGGTAACCTGCTGTTTTCTTTAAAGGAGAGCCAAAGACTTGTGCTTTACTCTGTTTTGGTTTTGGGGGAAGTAGTAGCCATTTTGATCATGAAACCTTTTAGTATTTGTGAGTTGGTTGTACTGTGTAAGTAGATTTATCTAAAGTTAACTGTTAAAGTTAGCTAGCCTTATAAGATGTAAAAGTAATGAAAATTCATCAGTTTCTCTAAGCCAGTGAATGTCATCTTTTATAATGTTGTGTATAAGCATTTGTGCCCACCCCAGCTTCTGCTATCACTGTGGTCAAGTCATGGGTCTGGGTAAAGGAATTCTAGAGTATGTGACTGGTGAGAAAAAACTAACTATAGTCAGTACATGTACAGATTGTTAAAATTCAAGAAAAAATATTTTCACTAAAAAAAGGATCCGTCTCAGTAAAGAAGTATTCAGTTGCTGTCACTTATATGCAAATCGTGGTGGGTAGCAGTCTCACCATTTTTCTACTCTCTTTTTGCTCGTTTTAAGTAATTGAGTAAAAGTTTTATTTGTAAAATCTATCTGTAAAAAGCACCTGTAACGATTTTATATGTCATTGAAAGGAATGGCCCAGTTACTTTTTAGGAGAGATTAATAACCTACCTGGAAATTAACTACAGTGTTTACTTAGATTTTTCCCCCTAAAAAGAGTCTAAGTGTGTTAAATTTTTAATTGGTGATATGGTTACAGTGTTGCAAGGTGATCTCTTCCCCTGAAAAATCTGCCTATCCTTTAGAGCTACTAAACTAAAGCAAATTTTACTTTCATCATTAGCACCTGAACAAGCAAGCAATCTACTACTGTCATCATTTTACCTGAGTGCCCATTTTGCTGATCCACATTCATACCTTTCTACCTGGGACAGCTATGATTTTTATATTTATTTGTTGCTTCAGCTCAGGTTTATGAAATTTTCCTGCTGAAATGACTTATTGGGAGTTGTAGGTTGATTATAGTTACTATTAAACATTTTCTTAATTTAGCTTTTCTGAGCCACTTCAAAAAGAAAGCTGTTTTTGTCAAAAGGTACTATAATTGTAGCAAGTAAATCTTAAGATTTGAATTTTTAAGATTTTATTTCTGTGTTCACTAAAGATCTTTTCACAAGTAATAGATTATAATTGATAAGTAATACTAGCTATGGTGTTAATAAAGAATAAGACTGTCACCACCAGGAATAAGTAACATCATTTAATAATCTATTCCTAATAGGTATGTTTTCAATACTGCACTGAACAAAGTGGGTAAAGAGCCCTTTGAAATCCTTTTGTAATAAAGGGATTTACCTCACCACTGGAATCCTTGTTTTCAGAGCCTCTGGATTTTCAGCCAAACACTGAACTCTCCTAAACTTTATCCCTGAACAAAACATCCCTAGAGAACAAACTTTATTTTCACAAGAAAATAAGGCACAATAAGGGGGAAGAACTTAAACCTCAAGATAATATTGTGTCCAAAAATGTGTATTTAGAAAAATAAAATCCTGTGGAGTTTGTTATCCTAATGTTTATTTTATACTAGATAAGGTGACTTGTTTTCTTGTATTGAGGTCTTACTGTTTCAGATTTGTTTTTGTTTCTGTTCTAACTCTAAGCAGACAGAGCTCACAAGTCTTTGGCATCCATTTTAGGTTGTACACGCAGAGTCATCTTATAACTGGAAACTGTCAGGTGGTCCCCCACCCCAGTGAGTGTATGAAAGGGTCAAGAAAAAGATTGGAAACAAACTATTGGGGGAATAATTGGTTGCTTTATTATTAATTTTTTTTTTTGCCTGTTTTTCTTGTGTGTGTAATCACCATTTATTTGTGTAATCTTTCTCCAGTGATTGGCTGTCATTCTCATAATATCTGAACTACCCCATAAAATAGTTCTCTGATTTAAAAGCATTTAGCTTTTGCTTATTGTTTTTACATCCTCTATTCAACTAAGACGCTGTCCTGAGAATTATTTTTTCCAGATGGATCGTTGGCCTGAATTTTCACACTTCACCCCTGTTCATCCTTTTTCCTCTTCCTGCTTCCTGGGAATAAAAGGAACTTTTTTTTTTAATTAATTAGTCCACGGGCCTCATTATCTTTCTTTATGATTAATCTATGACTTTTGGGTACAAGAACAATGGAAAAAGTGAATTAAGGTAATGAACAAAACCTTTCACCCACTTAAACATTTTCCAGTTTTGAGATTCCTCTTTGTGTGTGTGGTCTCTTCCCCTTGTCACCCCTTCTGCCCTTTTTCTCTGACTATGGTAATTTGGTCTTTAGGCTCATACCAGTCTCCCCGAGACATTCTGCAGTCATTATCACCTTTTTGGGTGGATTTTATTTTGTTTTATTTTGTTTTTTTAAAAAAAAATAACTTTTTAACATTGGTGCATATTT